TATATATATAACTCGTCACCTTTATAGTTGCTATTAAATATATTTCTTTTTAAGTAAAAAAAATCCGTTATTTGTATATTATCTTTTAATGTAATTTTTAAGTCGTAGTCTGACTTACGTTTATAATGCTCATGAGTGTTTGTCCTTGTTTGATAACAATAAAAATGAAATGATTCCAAGAGCACTGTGAGCATGAATCGGACCACATCCTTATTCGATTTCGTTTTCGATTTCTCACATCGTTTTGAAAAGGTTATTCTTCTGATTACAGTGGAATCGCAGAAGGACTACCACGCACGTAGAAAGCACCATCATTCGCGAACAACAACAGCGAAGACAATGACGGCGGCCGTCGCATCAACGACGAGATCACCGGCGAGCACGACGGCGACCACCGCAGTCGAACAAGTGGAAGATAATCAAATACCGGAAGTGACGAGGTGGCCGACCACCGAACCCACGGAAACTTGGGAAATCACAACCACTACTATAAGCACCACTCCGAGCACAACCACAACCACCACGCCGACACCACGTGAGTGGATAGAGTACAAACGTATTCAATGATTATTAATTTTCTATGTAATATAATTAATTTGTTACGTAATATAATTGGTGCGTAATACATTTGCTATGTAATATTCTTTGATTCTCTCGGGATTATATCGAGCATTCTACTGATAAATTATTAACTACTTTTTCAGTTTGATTTGTAAAAGTACGGAAATATTGAGATAGCTAACACTAAAAAATAGACGATCTTTACAAATTAAACTCTGAAATACATTTTATACGTAGTATAAACTTGTTCCTCGTAAATTTTATTGTAATAGCAATTTCATCTGGAACTTGATTGGTTATTATATATTTATTACTGAAAATTGAGTTTATCGTGATATCTTTGAAAGTTCACTATTAAATTTTATTACAATGCTAAGGTTTATTTATACATATATTATCATATTTTCATAGTGCTAATTTTTTAGCAAATATTTATTTTTTAAGAAATTTTTAAAACTTTAAATTTTTAAATTCTTGTTTCTAATTCTTTTTTATCTATATGTCTTACATTTTATGTATCTTATATTATTATTTTTTAATTTAAGCAAACTAATTTTTTATAAATAAAACTTCGTTTATTACATTTTTTATAAATAAAACTTTGTTTATTTACCAGTAGCTTAAAAAAAAGAATTTTTAATCTCTTTCACATCGAGAAGCAAATTAGATAGATCGCCTCCGGGTGAAATACGTTGGAAAAAGAAGTTTATAAAGGACTGGAGAAATAAACTGGCGAAAAAGACAGCTTCTCACGTCACTCTCTTTATAGGCTTCTGCGTGGTTCAAAGGTCGAATACGCACAGTCAGCAATACATAAGGGAAGGCAAGGGCAAAAGGGTGAGTCACTCGCAATCTCCCAAGTCTCTCGCGATCGCCGTCGCGACGCAAAGCGCTCACTGCCATCACCCTCAAGAGCCGATACTCGCAAGACAAAAAAGAAAGAGCGTGGGTTTTGTGAAACCTTTTCGTGAACGTCATACCGGAAAGCGTTGGCGAGGGTATCAGCAAAAATCGGATATTTACTGCACAGTGCATAGTAGCGAATTTTTACCGTAAAGAAACGGAATAGGGAAGGAACGAGAAATCGTCCACGACTTCTTCACGACATCGCGATATATCTCTTTAGCTCTTCTTATTGATGAAAAATTTCCTTAACTCTAAGAATAACTTAAAGAGCCTTAATTAATTGTATCAAGTAAAATAACTATGGCAATTAATGTTAATTATTTTTTTTTTATATCTTTACTAGATTCTATTTTGACAAATTTATCGATTAATGAATTAAATAAAGATTGTTATCTTTAGAAAATATATATAAATAAAGCGTAACTTTTTGTTATAATAATTTAAAATGTGATATTTAGATGAGAAATTAGTGTCATATACTGGAGGTACATTGAGTGCATTATTCCTTTTATACATAATTCTTTATATACACATATACTGGGTGTATAAATAAGTTTCCAGGGTCAAATAGTGTTTTAAACAATACTAACAAATGCGTATTTAAGTTTTTGTGCACAATTATTTTTCCATTAATAAAGTTGACTAACCTTTGAATTTGATATTATATAACAATTCGCAGTTTGAAAATCAACATTTTTCTTAATTTAATTGATAATAAACTTTGAAAATGCACATTTGCATGCTTCACTATTTTTATCGTGAATAAAAATCACTCAAGCAACCAGAATAAATTGTGAGACTTACACTTATCAGATATCAAAGAAGAAATGTGTGGTAATCCAATTCCTTGAATTAAATAACACATTTTTATTTTTAACTTCCATGTGTTAAAATGTGAGTCAATTCATTTCTGCAGTTCTTAAAGTAATATTTTCAAAGTGATATTCCCTTCTTCTCCTCCAAAATTTTCCTTTTTTCCTTGGTTTATTTTGAAATTTTCTTTTTCACAAAAAAATTTTGGTTATTTCAGATTTTATTATTTTAAGAATAGGTGACACATTCAAATTTTTTGTTTTAATAAAGAATTTTGGAAACTTTATATTCAAAGCATTAATTTTATTTTTTTAGAATTAATTTATTAATATCATCCTCTCAGATTGATCAAATGCTTTAATGTAGAATAAAGAAACAGATTAGACACGATATTCAATAAAATTGATTACAAATACATCTTTAATAATGATAAAAACAAATAGAAAAAGAACATCTCTTAAAAATAAAAATCACAGACGAATCAATTTTTATTGTTAGATAAATTTCGTGATAGATTTTTAGTACTGACAATATATGTCAGTACATCATCTATAAGATGTTTTATAACGTGTGAGCGTAACTTCAGAATTGAATTCAAAGCACAAAAATAGTACAATACATTTTCAAATAAACATTTATTCTTTTTTACCTTCTCGATGAGAATAGACTCGTGGGGTCAACGTTATCCACGTATTTTACGTGAATTACGTGGACAAAAATTCTTTAAAATGATATCGATATGTAATGTGTCATGAATGACATGTTATCAAAATATCAAAATTTCAACATGGCATAAAATAAAAATTGATATAAATTTATTTATATAAATTCCATGTGTATTGTTATCTTTTAGTTCTATCTCCATTATATTTTATCATTAATTCTACGTGGATTATATATGTATATTATATACGTATATTAAAATCTATATGGAAGTATCTACGTAAAATTCATATTGAAACTTCGAAGAAAATTTATTTAGATTGTGCAATAAAATCACAATGTTACATTTACGTGGACATCATGTCAATAAATTTTTATTTTTATTTATAATAAAATACGTAGATTCAACGTAAACATCACAAACATGTTTTCATTAGAAAAAAAAATTGCGAAACTTATTTATATACTTAAATAACACTTTAACAATTTTTACACTTGGGGCTGTCATTTTTTAAATATATATGGATATAAGTATTGATTGCGTGTATTTTACTTACGCAGCTTTATCGTGAAGACGAGCCCGAATGCTCAGAACTGTGTGTCTGTGCTGAAGGTGAACAACTCGTTTGCAACACCTTGTGCGTCGAAACGTTACCCTGTAAGACGGATTTCGCTTTCTACAATCATGAAGCACCAGCCTACCAAGCGCATCGAGGTCCTTGCCTTTGTTATAGCGGCGGCTTTATATGCATGCGGCCTTCGCCCGGTGAGTAATTATCTCTCTCATAATTATGATGCCATTAAATTACAGTAGATTATTTAGGCAACATTTTCATTGAACTCTTTACAAACCAATGACTTAAACGTTATTTTTATAAGATATAATAAAGATATAATTATGCGATTATAGTTTTGTTTGTTTTATAAAATAAATTAATTAATTAAAGTTTTATAGGAAATATCTTATTCCATATTTTATCTTGTACAGAAAAAATTTAAATTGGCAAATTAGAAATATTTTTATAATAATCAATTCAATAAGTATAAATAAAATGCTTATATTAATAAATGAGACTTCTGCTACTACGTTTTATACGTTTACATTAAATGTATTTAATAAATGTCTTTCCTCTTTTTCTTCTGAACTCGACTATGGTTTGGTTTTACGACGATTTTCGAGTAATCCGACAGAAAACGATTTTTCTTCTCACAATATAATACCAGCATTGTATTATTTGCGCAGACACATATAGTATACCGCACGGGGTTTTCATGTTCCTGGGATACAGCGAGAAGGACGAGACCTTATTGAAGCAGTACAACAATGTGACCGTGCTGGACGCGGTGTCATCTCTCGATAATTTCATGAGAAAGGAAGTCAATAATCAGGTGAGGCGTTGCCGTCACATTGTTCCTATTGATCGTTATAATCTCGACTAGATGACACTTTGAAATTGTCACTCGTTGATTAACACCGTACGCGCAGCTTACCGCTTGATGGAAATTTCGCTTAAATTCCAAAATCGAGAGATTGTCTTGGCACAATTTGCCACAAATTCAATGACCCAGAAAAGAATTTAAAATCAGTCGATTATTCCGAGGTTTATTACATCCCGCGTCGTTTCGGCGACGAAGGAGAGCGTTCCGTGAAATTCCCAGAATGCAATTAATGCGCAGCATCTCCGATCGGTGCGTGAAATCCCGATAATGAGAAATGTCAATAAGAAATGTAATGACTCGTCAAACTGCGCGTCGATTAAAAACTAAATCGGGCTGAGCGGAATTTAATAAAGCCGCCATAATTGTAGCGACGCGAATGACGCACCAGTATACGTATCTACCTTCTCAGATCAACTCTTCCGCGTCTTCCATTTACAGACAGTATGCACACTCTTCTTGTACAATGCGACCCGAGAAAACGTGATCGCAGTGGCACGACTCGGGACCGACAATCCACCCTTAAATAGCAGCCAGGCTCAAAGTCTGCAACACCTGCTACGCGTCAAGGTAAGCGAATCTCGAATGGACCTTTTCGCACTGTATGGAGAAAATTGAATACCTTGGTGCGAGAGCTAGATAAAGCTACAATTTTTGAAAAATCGCGAGACAAAGGAAGACACACTTAAGAGAGACAGAATCTTGTTATTCTACTTATTATCTTTATCAAAGCATCGAGTAAATAGAGCTTTCAGTTATATATATATTACTCTTTTAAAAACTACATTAACACATTCTGAACTTAACGCGACGCACTATAAGCGCTGCATTTTTAAAACTTTGTACATTACAACGTACGTATTTTTTTTGATCTAAAATATATATGTATAAGATTCCTACTAAAATAGAAATAAATATATCTTTTATTCTCGTTATCTTCTTAATTATCTTACTCTACAAATACTTTTTTATTCAATATAAATGACATAATATTTTGTATATTATAATAATCTAATATGATATCATATCAAACATGGATGCAGAATGTCTCATAACTCGCGTAAAGCAGTAAAGCGGATTAAACTAAATCTAAAAGTATCATTTTGCGAACTTTGCAATAATTAACCTTACATTATGTATGCACACATAGTGTTTTTTAAAATAACTTGTTACTTGCGTGAGATGTATGATTCTAATTTCCCAACATTACACAAAAAAATACTGTACGCAAGTAATACCATGTTAACTATTTTGTTTCAAATATTTTATACAAAAGTTCATACATCTGCAAATCCATCACAAGTTTATCACAAACGTTAAATTTATTCAAATATTATAAATTTATTCAAAATATATTTTGAATTTACTAGTAAGTTTGATTCTTCAATCAAGATCATTAAATTAAAACAAATTTGATTTACTTATTATAGAAAGTCGATCAATTTTCGATCTAATTTTATAATATTCTTAAAATTTTATTGAGATAATAATCAATGAAAATCCCCGAATAAATATGCATTTGCATAAAAAAACAGGTCAACTTTACACGTTTATGATTGCTAGGATCGCGACGAGGTGTTTGAAAGTGTGCTTTACAAACGACATAACAATTTACATGATGTCGCTCCTGCGAAGCCAATACCGTTCATATATAAAGCACACCTCTAAATAGAGATCCTCTAATCGGAGACTGGCTCATGAGAGCGTATCATTTAACGTGGCAACATCCTGCAAGTGAGATAAGATATGTTATCTCAATCTATATATAGGGTGCGGCAGAGAAACTTACTTTTTTTAAAGGTTAATAAAAACGAAACTATTGCAGATATCGGTATAATTCTTTTTTCCTCTTACAGATCACCTTATCAAATTTTTTTTCATGCACTTTTGAAAATTACATCTATCAAATGACGGCCGCCGTTGTCTATGCACTGATTGAGTCGATTTCTGAAGTTTTGCGTCACTCTCTGAAGCATGTCCACCGGTATTTCGGCGATGGCGTTCCGAATGTTTGTCTTCAGGTGAGCTAGGGTCTCTGGTCGATCGTTGTAAACAATAGACTTCAAATAACCCCATAGGAATAATGAAGCGCGCTCGAAAGGCACGTTGAGTGGCGACAATGGAGCGGCCATTACCAAAGTATGCCTCGACGGCAAACGCGCGATGCTCTCTTGTCCAAAGCATGATCGAGACTGGCTGTGGGGGGAACAAAAATTGAGGACCTATCCTTTCGGACGCACCCCCTCTCAGCTTCCTACCTTCACCCCTTGCCGTTTGACGCGTTTTTCAAAAAAGTAAGTTTCTCTGCCGCACCCTGTACAGTGGTGCTAGTAATGAAGTCTATACATGTACATATCAGAGTAAGCTTTTGCTATGCTAACGTGTGGAGGACTGTGCAAGAGTGAATGTTATGCAAGTTGGTGACTTCTACCTCTCTCGCTTCAATATAATGTATTAAATTTGCATAGCTGTCATTCTTGCAGTTAGTCACTATCACTTAAAAGCTCACTCGAAAAATGTCGACCCCAATCAAAAAATGATTCTCTTATTAGAAAGTCAGTCTCTGATTAAAGAATCTCTACTTCAAAGCATCTTACCGAATTCCTAGCAATCACGAACACGTGTAAAGCTGGGTTATTTCTTTACACAAACGACTGCTCATTTAGGAATCTTTATTAATTATTATTTATTATTATTTCATTAACCCTTTATTATCTACGTGTCCGGAATACCTCAGCCTTATAAATTTGTTAAATGTGTGAATGCTTGAACATATTATTATATTTAGATAAATTTTTTACTATTTAAAAAATCTTTTAATAATATTGTTTTACTATTTAAAATAAATTTTGACAACATTAAAAAATTAATTATTATGAAAATCATAAAATGGTTCAGAACTTTTTAATTCAATTTAGCCTGTTCTATCTACTCATTATAAGACTTGTAGATTGCTATTACTTTGAAAGTTCAAATTTGTAATCGTAAAATTTGTAAGTGTTTTACTGATGTGATGTAATCTTTTCCTGTTGGATTTGTATTCTATTGCTATTTTTTTTAATTTATGAAGCATGTGAATAGGTCAACTTTTAAGTCTTTACCGTGTTTGCATTACGTGTAGGATTGTACTTCCAGAGTTTGCAAGGCCTTTTTGAGGGTTTCTTCCTTCTTTCCAACAGCAAGAAAAGCTGATCGCGTGAACGACGGCGATTCGATACACGCGCGTGCGTGCAGCCGACAGGAAGTCGGTGCGAAAGGGCGATAACGGGTCCTCGCGAAAGTTTTAATTTCTCGGCGAATCTCGTTTGGACGGAATTATCGCGATTAATCCGCTCGTTTCTTGCCGAATTTCCACCCTTCGCGATAGATCTCTCGGCAGCCGGGTGCAGATCGCCGATCGATCTCCAGGTTATTGCACGCGAGAATGTAGCCTTACATGTGTCCGGAACATATAACACGTTCGCTTATAATGCGCACAGGGCGATTAAAACTCTGTGATTCATGATCGACTTATGTATACGATGTCGTGATTTAAGTATATCCAGTATGGCATAACCGACCAAATATAATTTTTACAAATTAATAAAATGAATTTATAAATTATAGAACACGAGAGATTGAAGCCGTTGTATCAAATTGATTGATCAGATGATAGATTTAAAAAATATTAAGTTTTGAGAAAATAATTGTTTAGAAAAAGAAAATTTAAATAAAAAATAAGTAAATAAAAAATATGTATGTGCAGAAACTTATCAATTTTTAATAATAGAAAGTTAATCAATAATCTACTTATCTCTTTTATTAAGGGGGTATACTCAGTTAGGAGGCCAAAAAAAAGACAAATCTTCGAGAATTTTTTTCAGAAAAGTATATGTACATATTTGTATGAAAGATTTTATGTTCGAAAAAATCTACTTTGACAAAGTTTTCATATTTCTTTTTATGTAAAAATATGAATAAATAAATAAGTTATAGTTAGTGTCCGGAAAGCTGTCCGTTTTCTAAAACGCGTTTTGCGATGACCACTGCTATTCGGAATCAGGTTATCTGAAATAAAAAAAGATTTAATTAATATATGAATTTGTCTAGTCTTTGATTGTTCGATATTCCGAAAAATTGAAGTACAACAAAATGGTGGCTATTTAAAAATAAACTTTCAATTTTCATGAAAAAAAACGGACATTTTTTTTGTCTATTAAAAAAAAAAAGAACGCATTGGGAAAAATTCTTTAATTAAAGATTAGGTTTACAGAAAGCATATAAAATTTCAGATTGGTCGATGCAGTTTTTGAGATATTTTGGTCACCTATTTTGAAAAAAACGCGTTTAAAGTTTTTTTAAGTACAGTTTATTACTAAATAAAAAATTTTTCAATTTAAACAGAGTGATCTATTCCAGGACCATATAGTACATCCTCTTTTAAAGTTGACGCTTTTAAAATATCAATTTATTGTTGTCGATGACGTATTCTTTCCATCTACGTATTCTTTCCTTTTTTCCCTCGCGCTAGACTGTTAGGAGCGCTTCGACGAACGTATACTCAAGATCGTATATTTCCATGAAAATACAACGGATTAACTTAAAATTTTCAGGGAATATTTCTAACATTATATATTTTAAGAAAATGTGATTTTTGAAAAATCGATTTTTATAAATTTCTAACTGAGTATACTCTCTTAACAAATTTAATAATCCATGATGCATTTGTGTTACCTGATTTAAACTATACTACAATAGTTGTTCTATAAAATTTAAATGTTTATAGAAAGTATATGTACTACAGGTAGCACACACATATACACATATCAATTAAGAATAGTAAAATAATTATCAAAGGTATACTTTAATTAATAAACGATGTATTTGCTGTTAGTAGAATGTAGGTTTTTAATTAGTGCGTTGAAAGAACGTTCATGATTTGACAATGTAGATAAGAACCGCAGTAAAACACAAAATTAACGCATAAAACACAAATCTCAAAGAGATGTTCTAAAAACGTTCAGAAGAAGTCCCTATGTTCTAAAGACATTCCCAGGGCGTTCATCGGATAAAGTGTGCTCAAGTAACGTGACCTCGGAATGAACTAAAAAATTCTCTAGATTTAAGCACTATCTATGTATTAACATTTGTGCCTCGAGATCATACCTTTACTTTAATAGTATCATATTTGACCCACGACCCACATACTCTGAACATGATTACATCGAAAAGCAATAATGACATTTTCTCTTCGGCGAACATATATCCTGCGAATATTGAACGGCGGGAGGGATTTTTATTATAACGAATTCTCAACGTCAAAAAATTCGCACGAAAAAAGGATAGATCGGAACAACACGCCAATTCGAATCCAGAATATCTCCATCAAGTTGCAAATGGACCGGCGCTTTATCACAGATTGGAAATCGCCTCGGGAACTTGTATGACTGTAAAATGCGTGCCGCGAGCAGAAAACGACATGCATTTAGCACGTCATAAAGGATAGATCGAAGCAAAACGTCACAATCGATTGATGTAAAACAGAGTTGACAAAAAATTACATACTAATTTTGATCTGAAAGTTTCGCTAA